AGGTAATAAATGCTGTTCGGATCGAAAAATTTACCTCTTGGAACGTTAAGTGCTACTATAGGAACTTTATTCTTAAAGTTCACCTTCAAAACCCAATCCTACCGGCATTGGCGCATTTGCTTAGCGTTTTATAGCAACATTCGCTCCGATAGTTGTTGTTGCGCGTCACGGTTATTACTGTCTGGAAGGAGATTGACTAAAAGGCGCCGAAGCACGCTTCAGAACAATGCTCCAGTCATGGAAGCGACCGATTGCTCTTCCTTCGCTCAGTTTCAGCTCACAGACTCATCGACTTACTTCAAAGATGCTTACTAACGCAGGTAAGATAGCCTGAGAGACCTCGGTCGCACAGTCTACTCAGCATTCCGTGGTAAGTCATCTTTGCAGCCGGAAATTCCTCGATCAGAGTCGTGCTTACCTCCCCGTCAGTGTTAGTTTTTCGACTCGGACTCATCAGGGGGTTCCACTATGGTCCTGGGCACCCGTAAGTTATGGTTGTCTATCAAGCTGAAGGTGGTGACACGGTTATTTACCCTGAACAGGATGAAACCAACTCTACAAACTCTTTCTGCAACAGTCATCTTCACGCTAATTACATGCCGCAGACATTGTGCTGAGCATTCTTGAGTTGTTCCGGTAAGGGCTTTTCAATTGCAGAGTCTAATCATGTCATGGTCCTGATGATCGGAACCCACCAGGTATCATACCAGAGTCCTTTACATTGATATTGATGTTCATCATGGCGATGGGGCAGAAGAAGCGTTCACAGATCGGGTCATGACGGCCAGTTTCCACAAATATGGCGAGTATTTTCCAGGAACTGGTGAATTGCGGGTAAGTGTCATCTTGTCTTGTTGATGGAATATTGTTGACACCTATCAGGACATAGGAATAGGCAAAGGAGGATATTACTTTCCCAACTTCCCATTGCGCGATGGATTCTCAGACGAAAACTATAAATTGGTGTTCGAACCTGTGAGTGATGTTTTCTTTTCCAGCTGGCGTCTACAAGTTTTCAATACAGGTGATTTGTGAGGTCATGGAATTGTATGACCCATCGGCTATTGTTCTTCAATTTGGAACGGACTCATTGTCGGCAAACTCGGCTGCCTAAACCTATCTATGTGAGGTATGACCAAAAGTGTCACCCTTGACTTGTTTGAACTTACATTCAGGGCATGCCAACCGTGTCAATTTGTGAAGTCCTTCAACAAGCCTCCATACTACTGGGTTGGCCTTTTTTCAGTGCAGTTCTCTCACCTCGTACTGACATGATCTAGAAATACCCGTGGATGAATACTACAAGTATTTTGGACCGGACTACATCAAATACAGGGGATATGAATGCACCGGAGTACCTGGAACGTGTCAAGAATATTGTACTCGAACATCTGCGACAGATTTGGGAAAGCCTCCCGGTATTCATATGACAGGTATGGATTTGGAGGGTATTTGGAAGGTGCTGGAATGTTCATCAAACTGCCAGATATTGCTCAAGCGATGCGGACATTGCTGGTGGAAGGAGGTTTGGTATCGGTGTGGGCATCTTGAGTTCGGGTGCTGCGGGCTTGACCCATGGCTGGTCCTAGTGCACACACCACGATGGTTCGCTCCGTGTTGAGCGGACATTTGCCGATGGAAGTCGACACTCCAACGACCACAGAAAGTGGGCCTACACCTATTGAACCGGTCGTTGCCAATGGCACGACAGGAGTCATTACTCGGGCGATAAGTCGCCAAAAACAAACGATGCTACGTGCACAAGTGTAGAAAGTTGATGATTTGCTTCGACTGACCGCTTATTATCATTGCTGTCGTTATGTTGCCAATATATTAGTCGAATACCAGGAAAACGCGCAGACAGTGCATGGGACGTATTGCCAATAGTTGACTGCTCACATCAGTGGTAAAAATACCAACTTCCTAATCTGTAGAACTCCAGTCTTTGTCATATGAAACGGAAACACTGTCTCCAACCCTTAGTAAAGCTAGCAATCAATCACCAGAGGTCTCAAGCATTAATCCGGAATGCTTCTCCTACGCTTTCCACTGCCGAGAACTCGCTTCTGACACCCGAGCAAGTTAAGCGCATTGAGCTGAACCGCCTCAAAGGTACATCAATAGTAATGTTGGTGCCCACATTCACTTACTGAGTCGTTAGTAGGAATGATAACTTTATTCTCACTGATCGCAATCATTACTAACAAGCCTTGCAGCATCGCATCTGTTTTGGCAATGTCGTGCACTTGACTGCAGTTGCCTTGTGTCAAATGCAAGGAAGTGAAAATCATTTGGATGCTGTCGTTGCTGTCGTGAAGGCCACCGATACTTACTTTTCTGATTATGAGAGTCGGGGAGACTTTAAAGCGAACATTTGGCTGGTCGACTCACTAACTGGTTGACAGAACATTATTTGTATAGATGGCAATGAAGTGACTACTACTTTAGGTTACAAGCAGCAACTCATTACCAAGGGCACTCCGCACGTTGTATGCCTGTCTTGCAAATTTCAGGGTTTCTGACACTAATCCAAAAACAGGCTCGACACGGGCTACTACAGATCACCAAAACGGGCTCGAGACAAACTACCAAGTAAGGCGAGTCTCTTCTACTTATTCGAGAACAACTCATGAGAGATTTTCACGTGATCACAAGGTTGTTAGAGCTTTCGGCAAGTATATAAGACGGCCTCGCAGGTTGAACTCTTTCGTTCACCCCACTTCAAATCTCTGGCATGTCGTCTGAGAATGCACCTTCTTCGAACACATCCCTTTGTGTCCAAACATCCCCTCATGCTAGGGCAAAGCGCAAGATTGCTGCCCTCATGGAGGAGGTCGAAATTTTGAAGCAAGATAAAGCGACAAAGCAAAGGTGCGCACCTCCTTTCTCAACCACTGAAAGCAGTTTCAGTGTCTCATTGTCACTAGGAAGACGACCTATTACGTTTCACAGGGACGAGCGATTTGCCAGATGGTGGTCCTTTACACTCCCATAGAGGATCTCATTGCCGAAAATGACCGGCATTGTGAAGAAAATGCAGACAGCGACGCCACTCCGGAGTGAGTAGTATCATTGTTCATATCCTCATGTTTGTTTACGAAAAGGAACAGCCAAAACCGCCTCCAATGTGGCTATATTGAATTCATTAAAGTATTGCCGTGGCTTCATGAAAAATTGTCATGTCTTGACCATGAAGAGTTGGAAGACATGCTCAGAAAGGTACTTTCCGACACCAGTTTGTTCACTTCTTGCTCATTTTCCATTTAGCTCAAGCAGGGCGCGGATTCAGCTCATGGTGACGACACTGGAACTCTCAAAGAGCTCGTGGTGTCATGGGTAAATATTGAGTGTAATGCGACTCCCCTCATCAGAGCGGACAACAAACATCATCGGGGTTTTGTGCACGATACATGCGGTCAATTACTTTGCCCAGCGGAATGGCGCTGGGGAGATCCGATGTAAGTGATGGTCTTCGTCGCTCACATCTCACTAATATTCCGAGTCCAGCGTCAGGGCTGGCATTCACGACCATACAATTTCCTTCATCGTGTCTGAGAATTCATGGCCGGCATTCATGTACGAAGACTACCAAGCTGACGCCAAGAATCTTGAACGTGGTCTCTTCAAGTCGAAGCTGTTGGTTATGGTGAGTAACTTGATTTTTCCAACTGATTCGCATCTCATCGCATCGCAGGGGTTCAAAGCTATCTTTACCTCTCTGTCCTCTGCCAACGAAGTGGATGGCGACGGCGACGGCGCCAATATCATCGAGAACGACCGTCGTGCCAGGAGACAATCAGATCAGGCTAAAGTGAAAACGTGTGTGGCTTCTATCATAGGTATGAGGAAAGTCACTCCTCATGCGATCGCTTATGCAACTTGCCAAGTAATCATCAATGCTCGTCCCTGACTGTAAGGCTGAAATTTATTTTTGCAGATCCGTTTTGCACTCTCTAATATCACGTCTTGGCGCGCTGTAGACAGTGATTTCGATTATCAAATTTTCTGGGACAACATCGTGGATTTCTTCGAGGACGCCCCGGGTCCAGCGGCACGAGCCAGAGTTAGAGAGCTCCTTGAATGGTGGACTAGGTCAGTCATCGATCGTCAGTAACTCACTTGCATCGCTAATACCCTGTGCAGAAAAGTTTTCGGCAGAAATCATCGGGAAGACTTGACGATGGACATTGTTTCCCGGATGTCTGTGAGCGCACTTGCTGTGCAGAGACAAGAGATGGAAGATGCCATGTTTGACTCCGAATAGCTACTTAATATTTTCACTTGCTTTTTCCGCTGTCCTTCAAGGATCTATAATCATCATGTCGACTACTCTTTGCTGCACTGCATTCAGTGCAGTCCTACATTTACACTGTACCATATGCTACTAATATTATTAATATCAAAACATTTGTCTTTGAATCCATATATCTGACAGTGCGTCGCGAGCTGTCAATAAGTCTCTTCTGCTCGTTTAATTAGCTATGACAAGACACTTTCGTAAGTGGTGATTTTAACAAATAAATTTGTTTTGTAGATGACTAGACAAAAATGTGCGGTATTGCCCATCAGTTTCCAAAAGTTTTTATTTCTGTAAATGCATGAGACGTTCAGGCTATACTGTGATAATGATACATTATAAAACTAGTAATGTCAGTGTGAGGGTAATACATGAATCATTGAACTACCGAGAATTACTAGGACGTATAGCAGTGATGTATCAGTGGAGGATCCTAACCAAGCAGCTGCCAGTCCAGCTTCTTGGCTTCCATCAAGCTTAGTCAAGCACGTACCTTGCTTCCTTTTATTTTTATCCTGTCTTCCTATGCATCTTTTAATTTGTCAGCACCTATTTTCAGTTATACTGGTGCCGGGTCATGCAGCCCACCAGATAATCTATTTTTATCCTATCTCCTATGCATCTTTTATTTGTCAGCACCTATTTTCAGTTATACTGGTGCTGGGTCATGCAGCCCGCCTCCTCGTTCATTCAAAATCTTCAAATCCCACCTAGTCACCACTCCCTTTATCTTAGACGTCTGTTGGTTTAGTGTTTCACACACCATAATTCCTTTAGATATTTCTCTACAAAAAATATTGTCATATTAGCGCTTATTGATTCCTCAGGTGACTCGAACATGTTCAAATTTCGTGAGTAGGTACTATCCTGCCCTCCCAATGGCTCCACTATGCTTGTGTACCACCCCCGAGCTAGTAACGCTCGGCCCAGCCCAACCTTAAAGAATGTGTGACCTAAGATCTATGTATAGAGATCCGAGTCAGTGATGTATCAGTTGAACTCAAACGCTGCAGAAATTCGACTAAGTCCACCAAGTCAAAAGTCAATACTTCGAGTCGGCTGCGAGCTTGGGCAGTTCAGTCCTTATTATGGGTTTTCCATTCATACAGAATTAGATGACAGACTCAGAATGAGGCATTGAGGCATTAACACGACGGACTCAAGCAATACATACAATGTAGTACACGAGGAAGCCGATTATGGTATACTAACGACCGAAAGAGATGAAAGGATGAGCTACTGTGAGAGGTGAATGAAGAAACAAATGTTGGAGTGTCACTAAGAGGGCTGTTGCCGGGCATATTGTAGTACTGGGAAAAGAGCAGCTATGAATGAACACGAAAGAATTTACCTAAGTTGTACCTATGGCATTGGCAGCAGCCGCCCGGGATGACTGGAAGCGTTGTCGTTTACCTCGGCCTCCCTCGATGGGCTGCGAGTTCTCAGTGGGTAGGACCACTGCACCCTCCCTCTTCTGACGCTTTGCAGAGACTGTCTCATTGCTCTTTGTGGACTTGTGTTCAGCAGCCTTCGTTGTCGCTGGTAACACCCCACCAACTGTGGCGGGTGGAGAAGGAGTGGCCATAATAGGTTCCATGGTGGGAGGTTCAGGCACAACTGAAGATGGTTGCACAGAAGGGATTTCTACCGAAGTTGGAGAATGCGCGAGAGTAGAAGTTGCCATGGGAGCAAAGGGATTGTTGTTTGGGGCAGAAGCATAAGAATTGGCAGTTGCAGTTTTTGTGAGAACGGATGATATATGGCGAAGACGAGGAGGAGACGCTTGGCTCTGCAAAGTTGTGAGGGTGTTGTCAGAGTCGTGTCCCAAGGGACCAGCAGAATTAAGGTCTCCCAATCTCGAGGTGGAAGTTAGAGGAGATAATCTCGAAGAAGCAAACCAATCCATTCCAGAGGAAGTGGACGAAAACTCCATTGGAGAAGAGGGAGGTAACAGAGATGGCGGCTTGTAGTTGGGCGGCATCGGTAGGATTGTACTGTTGAAGTCTAGATCAACGTCGTCATCTTGAAGATCGGGGGGATCAAATTGGAAAAAGTTGTAAGCGGATTGCAACCGGGATGGTACTGACGCCATGAATGGTGTATCGGTAGTGAGCGATGTATCGGGTGAGACAGTAGCAAGTGATGTATCGGGTGAGACAGTGGCAAGTGATGTATCAGGTGTGGAAGAGGATGCGGAAGAGATGGTAGCGAGTGATATATCAGCTGTGACGGAGTTATGGGAGTTATGGGCTGGCAGTGCCTGTGTGTCTGATATATCAGCTGTGACGGAGTTATGGGAGTTATGGGAGTTATGGGCTGGCAGTGCCTGTGTGTCTGGCAGTGATGTATCATTCTGGTCAGGCGTAGTGGTTCCCTTTGATAATAATAATGCAGTGTCGGCTACATCTTGATCAGCTTCAAACAGAGACGCCAACCATTAGACGACTCACAAAATGCTCGAGATGCAAACTCAAAGTAAGGCACCATGATACTCTCCTCGAATTTCGGATATGCTTGATTGAACCGATTGCCAGCAAGGGTCGTTCCAATATGCAGGCTACTGACATCGAGTTTGCTGGCGTTCGCAGGGTCAGGACCAGCTAGTAAGACGCTGAATGTCCATCCCGTCGAATCGTGTAACTTGGTGAAAAACATGGACAGTATTTCTGTAAGTCTGCATATAACCCTGCCTACCATCAGTGATAATGAAGTGAGATAGTCAGCGTCACTCACAACTCCTTCGGCACCTCCTTCTTGTCAGGTATGGCTTCTTTCTCTTTCTCCCTCTTTTCCTTCATCTCTTGGGCCAATTTCGTGACCTCTTCCTTCACCTGCACACTTTCGTTCTCCCAGCAGGATGCTAGTTGTTTGCAGACAACCTGAATCACCCGCTTTTTGGGTTCAGGTGCATCAACTGCGTTCTTCATGGCATCGAGTTCCTCCTTGACTGCAGGCTGGACACGCGATGAGTAATACTTCTTGGCATAAACCTCTGTTGCATTGAGGGGGCGTGATTTCTTTTTGCCTGACTTGATGGTGATATCGCCAATCAGCTTGCTGACGATGGTATTCCCAGCGGTGTTTGCCCGGCGGCCTATCTTCGAATTACCAAAGTCATTGCATAGTTTGACCATCAAACGCTAGTTTCATACGTGATTAGCCAATATTTCAATACATTAATTAGGATACAAATCTTACCGTCTGAAGGGCATCCCTTGCCTTAGCCATCTGCTCGAGTCTTGCGTTCTCATCAAGGGGCTCTAATGAGCCTTCCAGAGTGATTGGCCAACATTCTTCCCACTTCTCGAAAAAGGGGGGCCAGAAAGAGTTGTAGTTCCCTTTTTTTACACTCGAGAAAGCTTTCATGGTAGGTGAGCACAAAGGTTTGCTGCTCCTCCGAGAGCCAACTATGTGGTGCCATCTTAAATGACTACTCGTCAGTGTACTAACATCAAGGTAATCTACACGTACTTTTACTGATTTGTCGCGTCGCGTGAGATGCTCTAGATAAAAGTTAGACACAATGAAAAGGATCAGTCAGACGTGTACTGATTCCTTCAGCCACAGGCGCGATAAGTACTCCCAGAAATGGTTGTCCCATTGCGCCATGACCAGACCAATAGACTCGGAGATAGTACATGAGCATCTTCGCAGAAAGATTTGCGCATAGCGTGTTTCACACTGCAAGTTGCTGTCACCAATCAATAGTCCCATGGACATAGATAGAAGTGCATGGTACTAGTACTAGGTAGTAGGTACACTAGGCGGAGAACTTGTATTCCTGGTACCACAATTCACCCTCCATGAAGGCAACCGCTAGTTCACTGTCTCTGCCTTCCGCCAGACGCAACAAGATGTCTTCCACCATCCCTACGATTTCCCTCATGAATTTGCAGATGGCATCTGCAGCACGCCACTCATCACAAATACCACACATCTGAAGGATACCATCCAGTCCGCCGTTCGCTCTGTCAATAAAATTTTCGAAATTTTCAATAGCGTGTTCGAAGATAGATTTGTCTCCGCACCCAGTAGGATCTAAATCGGGGTCAGGCATAGTCTTGGAGTACTCGTCCATGAGGAGGTCAAAGAATCGTCGTGGAGATTTGATATGCGCCATGAAGTCGTCCTTGGCATACTTGACCGCAGCAATGCAGTCTTGTAAGGTTTCACTGTTGCTAATGTCAGTTACATTGAGATATGTAAGTCAAACCCGCACGACATTGGTTCATCTTCGTCATCCAAAGGATTGTTGACTGGACAAAGTTTTTTTTCTTTGCGTACCTGATGCCGCTTTGCTAGTATAGCCTCTCGACACCTGGAATTCTCGATTAAAGCGACTCAAAGACACCGTTGGTGTATTGCTTACTTTAGATAGTGTCGTCTACGCTTGTCTCTTGCAGCTTGTACTCTATCTTGATGAGTTCTATGAATAGTTGGGCGTACCATACTGAAGAGCAGTGAAAGTCAGAGGGAAGAACGCAGCATTTAAAACGAAGTACTCACATTTGTTTGGACCAAAACAATGAGTCTTTGATTTGCCAATGAAGCACATGCGCCGATGATGGTCGGACCATAACACATGGTGCATCGAGGGACCCGCTGCCTCAATGAAATGTTGATATACAGATACCTATGTGTATGAATCAGTGTGATATGTATTGCAGCGAGTACTTACAGGACCAAAACAACGAGTCTTCGATTTGACCATAACACATGGTGCATCAAGGGACCCGCTGCCTCAATGAAATGTTGATATACAGATACCTATGTGTATGAATCAGTATGATATGCATTGCAGCGAGTACTTACATTTGTTTAAACCAAACCTTTTTAATTGGTGAATGAAGCACCTGCGAGGATGTGCGAAGATGGTCGGACCATAACACAATCTTAAGACGTTGTGACTGAGAGAGACCTGCTAGCTAGGTAGAATGCTAGTGGAAAGATAAGTGTGAGTGTGATATGTGTTATGGTAGTGCTGCCTCGCGAGAAATATCATTCTGGACTTACCTAGTGTTCAAATGCCCAAGTCCCCCTAAGTTCTAGTAAAGTCAGTAACAAGATTGTCCTTGACAAAGGTTGAACCGATAATCAATCAACAGCAAGTAGTCGTGCAGATATTGTAACAAGACAGCTAAGCAGGATGACTTGTAGAGTGACATGGTCCTTCACCGAGAACCATTCAGCTAAGATACAGGCTTGCAATGGCGAGAATGATATGTTGTAGGATGCGGTAGGACCAAAACATATGGTAGGACCGAAACTTAGAATTAAGTGTTATTAATAGCTAGCCTATGGCACATGGGCTATTTTTGTGCGGGTTGTGCTTCCAAAGGTGTTCTGTTCAAATTTTCACTGTGCTCCTCTGCTTGCTCGAACAAATATAATAGCTTGGTATTGACAATTGCACAGTGTGACTACTAAGACTAGACTACCTGTGCCACCTCACCGCGTTCTATGGCGCGCTTCATAATCCCAATACCAAGCTCAAGAGATTCTGCCTTGTGATATATGGCGCATGAAACCCCGAGCACCTTGGGGCCAGTAGCATCCCTGTCCAAAATGAATTAGTGAATGAAATGAACGGAGCACGTCTAGACTTACCATCCTGAGAAGACCCCAATATAACGACCCCTCGTTATGTAGTACAGTGGGGCGGTGACTTCAATGGGCACATTGAAGTACGTGCCGTTGTGATACTGAAGGGTGGAATTATCAGCGAGGGACGTAGCTGCATTAGCAGCATCCTCATCGTCGGATGAGTCCCCGTCATTGAGCGTGAGGATGATGACGGGCTCATGCTCATGTCCTATGGCTGGGGCGGGGGCAGGAGCAGGAGGAGCTGCAATGATGGCAGGGGAATCATCTGGAGCAGATGTGGGATCTTCACTGCCCAAAGGAGCTGTGAGACTGGCAACAGGCCCTGCAACATTGTTAAAACAAAATTAGTAATAATAAATCAAAGAAACCAGGCGGATCCACCTTCGGTAACATTTGGACTGGTGCCAGCCTGCAACGCAGCTGATATTGCTGTCCTGTCGTCGAGACAAAGACCCTGCAAGATGCCAATGAGGCCATCCAGTCGAATGGACACCATAGTGTCCGTCTGACTGGAGGGAGATGGGCTTTGAGACATGTTAACGAGGCTGTATATTGAGTGGAGGAGGATGCGAAAAGTGAATGATACATTACTCACCGGGACAGGTATTTATGCAGCAAGTGCTCTCGTAATTTGATCCTCAAGAACTCATTGTAAGTCCATGGATATTGATCAGAGGAGGTGTGGTATTGACTTATGGAACGACTCGGACATGAAATCTCAGGCTGACTAAGCTCATGCGGATCAACAGTGACTCGGATTCACCATTGTTAACGCCATGATCAAGATCATGATCAGACTGCGGATCATTCACCTTGCCGTCATCCACGCCATGATCATAATTGAAGCCTTGATTTCTGTTTCGGACGCAGCTTATATGGTGTCTGCTGCAACAGGTGACCAGCTTGTTTCTACTCCGAGGACGGTGAGTTTTGTGCCCATTAGAATTATTACGTGGAGCATTTACCTCTTGAATTACACGTACAACTCTATGTTCTATTCCGAGCCCAGTGAGTCTTTATTCTCCTTGTCATTACATGGAGTATTTACTTACTGCTTGAAGTATCATGATTCTCCATGCTTCTTTTTGGCTTTGGAGTCTTGAACGCTGGCCCTGGTCGACGACTAGGTGTAATGTTGCAGGGACGCTCAGCCAAGAGTTCCCGGATTGAACGTACTCGTTTCATACCCTCCACCGCTAATACTCCACTGTTGCAGTTACGCACAGTAGGAATCACTACTCAGGGTCGCACTCAACTACATACACATTATGTTCCCGCTCCCTCTCTCTCCATTTTTGACTCCTCAGATGCTGGTTCTGACGCAGGCCCGTGGGATGGTTGGGATGAATTGTCCCTGGAACAAGAGGAACCACAAGAGATTGATTGTCGGCTTGACAAACGCAAACGCACTGCTGCGGTGAGTATCATCGGCCTACAATTATCACACAAATTAAACATCATATATCAGGATACACCATTGCTAGCATGGATCCCCGAGCGTCAGGCCTTCCTGGATGAAACCTTGCGCCTTGAAGGTCGTGGAAATGCAGGGATCTCATGTCGTTGTGGCCTTGCTGCACCCCTTTTCAGATGTCGTGATTGCTTCAGCACACAAATGTTTTGTCAAGAGTGCGTGCTTCAAAGTCACGCGAATAATTCTTTGCACAGGATTGACGTACGTACACATTTTTATTTGCTAATATTAAAGACTGACAGGTCCCTCTAAGATGTGGAACGACTTATTTTTCCAGCGCAGCACCCTGAAACAAATGGGTCTTCGTGTGCAGCTAGGACACGAGCCAGGCGAGACATGCTACAACCCTCGTCCCTCGGCTGGTGATGACTTCGTTGTCATCGACGTCCATGGTGTGCATGAGATCGCACTGGACTTTTGTGGCTGCGCAAGCGCTCAAATCCGCTACAAGCAGTTACTTCGCGCACGATGGTATCCAGCAACTACGTCGGATCCTCGGACTGCTGCAACCTTTACTCTACTGGAGCACTTCCACATCCTGTCTTTCGAGAGCAAGGTGTCAGCGTATGAGTTCTACCATTCACTAGCGAGACGAAACAACAACGCGGGCCTGTCGCACATACAAGTAAGTAGCCACAATGTATCAGTCCTGCGAGTTACTGACATGAGACTTAGGATCGTTACTCCGCATTCATGCGTATGATTCACGAATGGCGACATCTCAGGCAACTCCGTCGTGCAGGGAGAGGCCACGACCCTGCTGGCGCCAAGGCCACGACTGCAGGCAAATTAGCCGTGCTGTGTCCGGCATGCCCCCATCCTGGCAAGAATCTACCGCAAGACTGGCAGAATGTGCCATTATTGGTTAGGTATGTAAAAAAATAAATTCAGCGGCAATTACAACTGATGGGCTGATGTTATTTGTAATGTAGGTGGAAATACGCTCTATTCATTGCAATTGATGCCAACTTCCAGCTCAAACGCAAGGTAGTATCTTCGGATAATAGAGATCCCAGCCTGAACTCTGGGTGGGCTTATTTTGTCGAGGAGGCAGCGTACAAGTCATATTTGGCTGATCAAGCTGGCGCAAAGCAAGATGTAAGTAATATTGTGACATGCAACGTTTGACTAATAGTATCCCAGCGCAGTACATGTGTTAGTCATAATGCCATCAATATGGCAGACACGAAGTCTTCGCATGGCCTGGCGGCAACAGGCGTTGGCGCAGTCGATTGCGCCAGGCATGACATGAAACTTGCGAATGGGGTCGGTGACTTGCAGAAAGGCGAAAAGTGCGTTCAATTTTTATCTAATGTCATGAGCATCGCTGATAAATGGGATATATAGATACATTAACATGGATTATCTCGTGTTCTTGGCACTCCTGGCGTTCACGGTAACGATGATCAATATGTCTTACGACATCGCATGCCAGTGGCATAAAAATCTTTGGACATGTATGGAAGCTATGCCGCCGAGGTTACACATTTCTCATACTTCCATGACCGTCCGGTTTTTTGTTCCCAAATTCCATCTGAAAGCGCACATTGACCAATGTCAATGAAACTTCTCCTTCAACTGGTCAAAACACGTGGGACGAACCGATGGCGAGGCTCCTGAGTGCGGATGGTCCAATATAAACCGGGTCGCGACGAGCACAAAGGAAATGGGTCCGGGATCGTGTCGTGATACCCTCGATGATCACTTCGGGGATTGGAACTGGAAGAAAGTTACGGCACTAGGTCTGTATTGTTTATCTGTTGGAATATTTTGGGCTTATTCGTTAATAGGCCGGACTCTCTTGCGCAAGATCAGTGACGCTGTTAAGTGGAAGAGGGAGCATGGGGAAGGACTGGCGGAGCTAGAGAGGACCATTCAGCCTATGCTCATCCTTCAGTGGAGGAAAGAGGTCGAGGCTTGGGAGGAGGATGGCTCTCAATGTAATCCATTTGAGAGCCGATATGTGTTACGACAAACGGTCGTGTGCGACTAGGATAATCTAACAGCGACAACCACGACAGTGGTACCGAGTGCTGAGAGTCGTCGGCCTTTACAGACAAGCAAAGGTTGCATACTCGAACGTAGCTCGTGGTGGTTAACGAGGGGTTACGCCGAGATGATAGCGGTTTACAGACAGTGAAAGGCGTCACTGAAGGTACGAGTCGATGTCGAGCAGGTAGCTTTAGCGGGACAAGGAGTTCAAGGGTAAACCTAGTTGATTAGACTAGTTTCTGGGTTGTACCTAGTAAGATTAAAGTAAGGAACGTCTACTTTAATCTTCAACCTTATATAAGGCTACTCTATCGTATCTAAGCTCAGCTCGAAGCTGGGTTCTAATCTGCTTATCTACTCGAGTCAGAGATAGCGTCCATGAGGCGGGCTTCTATCGTAGATAGCGTCCATGCGGTACGCTTCCATCAGAGATAGGATCCACGTGGTATCCTTCTATCTGTACATGAGGCAACACGAGGCTTGCCTTCTATCTTGATAACATAAATAGGTCTTCAGACCTATGTCATCATGTCATGTCACGTGCGGTCCAGACCGCTTATCTAAGCCGGCAGTTGCCGCTTATTGTCTATTATCATCTATCATCATCTGTCATCTATAGAGCTGGTGAGGCTCCGGTATCGTCTATAGCCGTGCGGTGGCAGAGGGCTGTCTGCTGGCGGGGGACTCGTGCCATGTTCTGTAACAATATGCTCGTGAGTAATGGTATTTCTTTAGAGTTCACAAATTAATGTCTCCCAGCTATCACACAAGCCGCAGTGCGTCTACGGCTCGCTGAGCTTGAAGCCGACGAACTTCAGGCTGGGACCAACGTCTCCCTACATACCAACATTTCTCCAACTAGATTAATCACCACCGGCATTGACCTCCAAGACCAACAGTGAGTATTTCTGTTCAACCAAGCAAGTTCACCGCAGTAACGAAGAACTCAACAAGACAGCACTTGAAGACTGATATGGCCAATGCGTCTCTTCACCCCACGGACAAGCAGAAGACTGCTATGCAGACCTGTGTCACTGCCCTTCAACGTCGGCTGGATGCTTGGGCTCATGTCCAGGAGTTATATATGCCCATCGTGTCCCAGTTTCGTCAACGATCTTCAGAAGCTGGCGTGACGAATACGATGCCGCTCAAGCCCGAGAGCTTTAAGCTGTGGCTCCCGTCTGAGCTCCAACCAACAGTATCATGTGACAAGAAGCTGGCTGCACACGAATGGGACCTACGGCACACACAGGCACAGGATGCTCTCAACGAGGTCTGTTCACATCTCCGGCTTCGGTCTCATATGTATATCTATAAAGATAGAAATGTGCGCGGTCAGGCAGCTTCTACCCATGCACAGGCCCTCATCGAAGGCGTGGAGATGAGAAAATGGGCTAGTGTTGACAAGTATCGACGTGCACGTAACGCTCTGTTAGCTCTCGGCTATCGACTCGATAAGTCGGGCTGGGACATTTCCCTTCCACCACTCTTGGATTCAGATGTAAGACCTATGGGCGATATGGAGAGACAAGGCACTGGTACGATCTCTTGGATCTGGCTAGACTCACATGTGGACAATAGCAGCTCAGAAAATGAGCGCGTTCAGGATTGTGGGTCTACTAATTCTAGTTTGATATGGTATACTGATGACATCTCTTAGGCGTTCGAGTAGAGTGGTGCAAAGCACGCGCACGCGCAAACCGTTGGTCGGAAGAAGTTGAACTTCTCCTCGAGGAGATGCGGAGAGTTATAGTCTTCTTGAAGTGGCAGGCGGAGTGGTGGGGTGGAAGGCGTAGCTCTCGAGCCTCGGAGTCGGCGGCTGAACAAGAAGGGCTGGCTGCGTATGCATGTCGACAGGCTATGCTGCATCTATCCCTTGTCGCATCCTTTCAGGCCCTATGGAAAGATGTACCGAAGTTTGTAAGCACCGCCTTGGAGATCCCACCGGACAGTGAGGATGAACCTACCATCGACGTGCAGCCCCTGTTGTATAACTGATACATCACTCATGTACTTAACACTAGGCGTTAATATATTTATATCTTGCACTAAACATAGCTTGATCACTAGGAACGAGATCAGGATGACCAGGTACTGATGACTTAGGGATCTGTAAGATCAAGAATGCCAGGTACCAACAACATACAAGATCTGTAAGATCGAGAATCCCTTGCTTCATATTCTATGCTCAGTCTATTGGGGGACTTATTGGGGGACTGTGCAACCCTGTACATTGATGTATCACAGGTCCTACAGTGCAGAGTGATTCTTGTATTACCCTTAACTACATGTGCGAGTACTTGATACATTACTCCCCCAGCTACTTGTGAGACGTTCGTTGAATGATAAGGAAAAAACCGATGTGAAGCATGACTCACTGTTGTCAACTTGCGAGCCCAGGCACTGGGTCATAGAGGCACGACGTCTGTCGCAAGCGAAGCAATGTAACTGGTATGAGGCGAAATACATGAGATGTTCGTTGAATGATAAGGGAAACACCGATGGGAAGGATGACTCACTGCTGTCAACTCTGTAATCCTCTGGAAGGTATTTGCTTTCATTACACGTTGAAAAATTGTCCCATTAATGATGAAAGTTAGAATTTTCAAGTAGATGTCGTTAAAAGTCAAAGCGGAACAAAAGTTGATCTGTCGCTCACCTATTGAACGCATCCGCTGCTCCGCAAAGGCAACACTTTTTCGCACGGATCCCCAATCGATATCTAGCAGCTAACAATTAAACATTATCGCAGTGTCTTTCACCTTCACAAATCGCAACCTTCTTTCTTTTCCCTCTCAGCACCTGTCCATATTAAACTTGATGAACCTGAGCCCGTTTATGTTTTCTTCGACACATTCAAATGAAAGAGATCACTCAGCCAATATCGTTCCTCGGCTGGTGTGCTTTGAACCTGAGCTTGTTTATGTTTTCTTAGACACATTCAAATGAAAGGGATCACTTAGCCAATATCGTTCCTCAGCTGGTGCTTAGACACATTCAAATGAAAGATATCACTTAGCCAACATCGTTCCTCAGCTGGTGTGCTTTGAACCTGAGCCCGTTTATATTTTCTCAGACACATTCAAATGAAAGAGATCACTTAGCCAATATCGTTCCTCAGCTGGTGTGCTTTCAAATTGTTGTTTCCTCGACAATGCCAAATATTCCCATGTGAAGCGGTCAGCAGATATACGAAGATTGTTGTGACGCTGTATTATATATTGCTTTAGATGACCTTCTCATTTGTTCATCGGTTCTCTGATGACATCCTGTTCAGAGCTTGCTACGTCAATCGCTGTCTGCTTGACATCAATCTTGGCAGTCCACGGCTGTAGTTCTTTCTGCTTCGCTTCAATATGTGCGTAGAAGACTTGCGTTTTGTCTATTAGTCCATGATAAGAGTAGTATGAATCGTAGTGGGATTGGCATGGACGTACCCTTCAAGCATCCCTTCGAACACCTTCTCTTCCTTCTCCAAGTTCGTCTCGTGCTTCGCAATTTCGTGCTTCTTCGTCTTGATCTTGCCATCGGTGTCCTGGACTGTGTTATCGGCTTGCACAGCAGCAGAAATAGATGAGAAAACTCACGTCTGCCAACGCCTCCTTCAGCTTTTTCAGCTTTTTTGCCTTCGCGCTCGCATGCTTCCAAGTTCCGGGTGTTCCTCAAGACTCACGGATGGTTTTGCTGTCAGAACTATACATTGATCATGAGTCACAAAAGTTTGATTATTTGGTCCCAAACGCTAATTCTATATATTCAAAACAGGTCATTTGCCTAGCCATCTTTCATATTGGGCTGAGAGCGTCAGCATTCGACTCGTATCGCAGGGTATTTACTTGGTAGGAAGCGGCCTTATGGTGGCAGTCCAAACAACAATGTCCATGAACTGCATAGTGCCATGCTGTTGGTTTAGCGTCGTGCCCCATGAAGCGTACTCGTCTTCACTTTGGTCTTTCAAGGCCGGAAATTTGATGACTAGTGATTGTCGTAGATTGACATTGGCCCAACAGGTCCAAGCGATAGGTCGGACAAAATCTACCAGGGTGCAGGGCTTCCCATAAACATTGTTGGGATGTACAGACCCTCTCTGTCAGATGGTCAACACCAACATAATCATGATAAGCAGTGAATATGAAACTTACTTGAGGAAGGCAACATGTGAAACAATGAAATGTCGGGAGCAGCAAGTAGGATTTCCATAGTCGGAAGGCCGAGTTGCTAGATTGAAAGTGAGCGCAATCCTCCAGGCGGTGTTGACATGGTGCACCAGCAACCCAACAAGTTGCACACAGCAGCCCAGGCGAAAAAACCTTCTTGAATGAAAGCAGCTGCTGGTTCATGTACTGTCTCTGGTCGGCGGCCAAACTGGACATGATGTCCTGGAGACGATTGCTGCGGTTAGAAAGCTCGCTCTTGGTATTTGGGTCAAGAGGTTGTATGGGTGGCTGAGGAGGCACTGGTAGACGCATGGGAGGCGCAGCATGCTGGGGGCGCGTAGGAAACTGAGGGGGCCCAGGCTGCAGAGGGGGCGCTGGCAGTGGGGGTCGAGGGGGTGCAACCAGCCGGAGTTGGTGGAGTACAGAAGGAGGCTCTGGTGCTGGAAGCATAGCCAGAGATGGGTCATAGATACTCTGCGGAGTAGTGGTCAGAAGATCTAGAATGTTATGAGAGCATTAATAATACCTTGGCTACCATCATCTGACAGATATCACAAAGTTGCACCGTCACCATTTCAAGGCAGCTAGAAGCCCTGCCATCAAAGAACGACGACAAACCTAATCTCCTACACGCTGGTACGGACAACCATGAAGCCATCTCCGACACCCCGGTATCATCTTGACCTGCCTGTAAAGCCAAAGGCTTCTGCTTTGGGTCATGAAATACAAACGACCATCCTGGTTTGCCATCCCGGCATCCGCGACCAAATTCTTGCCCGTAATCCAGCATGTTGCTTGGCTTACGCAGGTGGACAATTGCTCGTATGTCCCGGATATCTAAGCCCGCAGAGAGTGCCGACGTAGTGTAGAGCACGCGGAGCGCGCCAACACCAACTTTGAAGCCGTCCAGGGTTTTCTTTTTTTCCTCGTCGGGCAGCTCTGAATGGTAAAATTCAGTGTTTGAGGCCTTGGCCATTGCCTGAGCAGTCGCCTTCGTTTGACAGAACACAAGTATTTTATCCGCTACCGGTAAATTCAGAAGCAAGCCCGCGAGCCACGCGAGGTAACTTTGCTCTCGCTTCTGGGCATCTCGAAAGCGCAGCGAGGAGGGAATGGCAAGCTGACCGGCCACAATGGTGAATGCATTGAATGAAATATCCTTCCTAGTAGTGTCACCGCGGATAATCTCAGTAGCACCGGAGAGCATCTGGAAATGTTGCAAGAATCGGGGGATGGTGGCGGGAGGCAGTGTTGCTGTACATGCAACAATTTGTAGGGGGAGTTGGCGCAGGCGGGGCATAAGCAGCAGACATGGTCTATAGCGCTTGGAGGTTAAGGCATAATGAGATTCTTCTATGACGATGCGGGAGAGAGCGCCTTTCTGAACACCTTCTCGGAGATAATCGAAAAACGATGGACATTCTAGCTGCTCCACAGAAACAAAGATGGTCCTGGCGTCATAAGTCTTTGTTCCAGGGCTCCAGGTCAAGGTGAGCAGGCCTTTGTCCTCAAAGCGAGCGCGAAGCTCATCCAATAAGGCCTTGAGAGGAACGATCACAACTGATGCAAGGTTTTTCTCCGCAATGCTGACTGCTGGCATCATATAAAGAAGGGTCTTTCCCTCCCCAGTGCCGAGGACAATGATTAGGTCCTTGAGCCTGGCACTGACAGCCTCCGAAGCACGGGCCTGCTCTATGGATTTAAAGGAAGCATTACGACCCATGAGGCACCGAAGTTCCTGAAAGCGCAGGGGGTTGATGGGAGGGGGACCTGCACAGAGCTCCTGAACTGGCTGAGAGGTTTGACGAAAGGTATATGCTGCAAAAGCGTCTGATATCGCTTTCACCACCAAGGGCGTTAGGGCAGATTGCAGAGGCGCGATAGCTAATTCCGATAGCATATGAACATCAACATCGATGGGAAGCGGCTTTTCCTGCGGGGAGTGGCCTGGCAGGGAGGTGGCAGGAGCAGCTGGAGGGAAGAGAAGGGCGTGATGAGCGCGGCTAAGAGCCACAAACTTTTGCAGGTGATCGCTTGAGACGGACTGGACATATGAGTGGTCAACCGCATACCCCCTTGCAACCTCCCCCTGGTGCCCACTCTGCTCGTCAAAGTAGTGTTCTAAGTCAAGATCAGATACAAGACGTTTGCAGTTCTTGCGCATGACGCCAATAAGAAGGTGCCGAATGTCGGCCAGGCCCATGGGATGACCCAGTCCACCCTCGGAGACTGGTCTACCGGTATGGGCGATAAGGATGTCGGAGAAGTCATCCGAGTCCCATGGCCCATGCAGCCCGTTAAACAGATGTTCTTCATATCCAGCGGAAGACTGAAAGTCTTGCCCATCGGAGCTGAGGTAGAGAGCGAGCACGGCTAAAGTCTTTGAGACAAAGGTCAGTTAGGGTTCGGACATGTGACAAAGGTGGTCAGAACCTTTGGGACGAACGTGAGGTACGCTATCATCAGCTGAGCAGCTTCTGGAGGCATGCTCCGAGAAATGACCCGCTCCTTCTCCTGGTTGGTCTGAGTTTTGTTATAGCGCGACACGAAGTTCAAATGGCCGGAGAACCAGTAGACGTTCCTAGGGTGAATGTTGGTGTTTTTCCAGGACATGATGGCAAGCTCGGTGCCTCGAGCAGGCTGTCCAGAGCCCAGATGATAGAGAAGAAAAAGCTTCTGAAGGCAGTCCTCGCAATCCTTCATCCAGCGCCTGACTTGGCCCTGGTGCCACACCACGCCGCTAGAGTTGTGCGACGCGACAAAACGCTTAGAGAAAGTCGACATCATTTCTTTCATCAACGCTGATCCATGCTCCCAGAACCGGTTCCTTCTGTCGGATAGAAATGAGTAGTCCTGATCAAGGCAACTCAAATCATCGTAAATGTGCTCCTGATCGATGTTCGGTAAAGCAGCCCCCAATAGCACAACTTCATACAGCTGAACCTTTGTCTCCTCCATGAGGATGCGGTACAGATTTACGACGTCGGCAATAGCAATAAGTCGTCCATCAAAACTGAGAGCGGAGCCTTCAAGATCTGCCCACATCATTCGGGGAAGCAGGGACGTGTTGGCAGTGACAAACGAGAGAAAATGTCCTATCTCCAGCAGGTCGCCAAAAAGATTCATGCAATCATCCCGGAGCCACCTGTGGACTTCTTCAATCAGACTGTTCGTCGAGTCAAGTCAGCCATCAGTCAAAGACAAGAGAGGGGTAACACGCACGCCTGTGGATTGTTCTCCAAAATCAAAGTGGGAGCGTTTTCGAACAACAGACAAATCTGATAGAAAGCCGCGGCTCTCAAACACCATCTCAACTCGCTCATAAATGGATTTATGTGGATGGGATCCAGTATTTGACCGGAAAGCTTGACGCAGCTGAAGATGAGAAAGAGCTTGCCTGGGCATTCAAGAGGCGTCGTAGGCGGATACAGTGTCGTTAGCAGTACCATTGCCAGCTCATGGGAAGCTGAATGAGCGGCCTGGCGTTCGTCCATGCTGATAAGAAGTTGCTTGCTACGGCGCTGTATATTGCTCGCCAGAGCTACCTTTCGAACCGTGGAGTTGCTGGCACGTTTGAGATGACCGTCCTTTGCTCGACATACAAATGCGATCAACTTGGCAAATGTTGCCACGTAGCGGTGGACCGTTTGCTTTCGCATCGGTGCTTTGAAGGGTCGATTATTGAGGTCATGGCTGGGTCATGGCACCATCAGCCAAGAATGAATGGATAGAGGGAAAAAACGCACAGAGATTTTGTGGTGTTGACAGCCCGCAGTATCCGAGTCTTTCGAAATGCATTCTCATCGGTCAGCAGCTTGATTATCTCGCCAAAATAACGCTGAAAACACGGCAGGATGCCGGTCAACTCGCCTTCATCTCTCTCAGGCATCTTTACCCACTCCACGATATCAGAAGGCGACTCATCCTTGATCACCTCCAGCCAGTTATACTTGGCCAGAAAAGGGTTCAGGTGAGCTCTGTCCATAGGCGGTCCCAAACGTCCCTTGTGCAGAACGCGGTGCTGCTCGTAGAAGGATTCCACCTGGTCGAGCAAATCTTGAGACCCTGGTGGAGCTGCATGTAGTGCAGGAGGAGAGTCAGGGACGACTACCGGGTACTTTATTTGCATGCTGGCATAAAGAGCCTGCACAGTGCAGCTCTTCCAATTGTTGCGAGTGAGATGACGGTTGTTGTGAGTTCGGATACGCTGCTCTGAGGTGGTGGCGAAGCAGCAGCCCTGAAACGTGCACATATATCCTTCTTGATAGGGGATCCCGGGAACAACGGGGCTGGCATTGTCCCAGTCCTCGAAGATGTCCGACTCATGAAGTTTGTAGGCCTCCAACGCCGAGATCTGTTCGGCGGTAAGCGCGGGCACGTCGTGATGCTTCTGTCGGTGGGAAGAGAGACATTTAGTGGAGATACCGATCTCACAAATTATGCATATAAGTAACCCGAGGGGTTTATATATGACGCAGGCAACCATATTCAGAAATGCCGAGGTGAAGATGGACGGGTGACCGTAGGGAATAGCAAATATGCCCTTGCTATCAGCAGGCTGCGGACCAAAGACTCGAATGTCGGCTGGGTCTGCGTCGAGAGTTGATTTAGCGTCTCGAACGCAGGAAGAAATATAAGTGACACTGACTCAGAACGGTCTCGATCCTTGCTGGTGCTGGCTTAGCCCCGGGATCAACCTTTGTGAATTGAGACGGAGGTGGCGCAGTGACCTCGAAGTTATCGTCTTCGTTTGGACTCTGTACCACGTGCTGTGCAAAGGCTGCCGTCGACAGCTGCCGATGAGAGGGTTGCAGGCCCCGATCAGCCGAGCCCTGAGTGCTCGACTCCACGATCAAATTGTTGGGATGAGTCCGTGTAACAGGGATGGCAGGAGGGGAGGATTCAGGAAAGGTGAGTGGAGTATACGAGTTTCTTAAAAATGATGACGAAGCCATTTCGTAGTCTTCATCTACAGGTGCCAGTAAAGAGTCGTCAATAACGTCCTCTTCATACATCTGGTCTTCAGTGTCCTCTTCCTCAGGCTCACTTTCTTCATCATCATCCTCGAGATCACTCTCTTGTTTAATTGCCTGCGTCCGAAAGTTAGATCGCCTACACCCCAAACTGCTGGCATGTACCCACACGTGTTTTGACCCACTTGGTCACCAAAACCATGTGGTTTAGAGTCTTCGTTCTCGTCCCATGATTGTAAATCTTTGCATAAGTCGCAAAAGCTTGAAGACACGCTGGGCATTGGAAAGTGCCATCGTCCCGGCGGGCAACAACAGCAGGTACGTTGGGATGCTCGAAGAACTTGAACCGGCAGTACGCCGAATGTAATTGCACACGATGAGATTCCAAATTGCTAACATCTATGCAGCAAATGCTACAATGACCGTTGCTCTCCGCCATCTTCGCAGGTAGATTGTTTGCGAACAAACGAAGTGGTGTCCCACGGTCGTGTCTTAAAAGCTTCAGGTCTCTTCAAGTTGGTAAGCATACCGTACGGCAGGTTGCGGCTGAGATCAATGAATGGGAGAAGGTTCTAAAAGGATTAAGCTAACATTGTGTAGAGAGTGAGTCTGATCTGGTACGGGCACGATGAAATATAGCGCTTGCGCCGTTGATTACTACTTATTTATTACCAATATTCGGCATCCATGAGGTGTTCGAAGTCCTACTGCTTAATAGGGATGGGCGTAGCTATTTTCCTGCCGCGGTCGTGACGCGGCACTGACACGGCACTGACGAGCCTTGACGCGGCACTAACGAGCCTTGACGAGGTTTGACGCGGCGTGACGCGCATGTGACGCGGCACTGACGCGGTATGTGCTATGGTTGACGCGGCACTGATAGTAGGCCTTGACGCGGCATAGAATGTGAATGTTGATATTAGTACAGAGACTGCGAAGATGTTTTGGAGAACTTGTCGTGGTGTGAGTGGTGCTTGACCCAGCCTACACGAGGCTTCTGGCAATGCCATGGTTGTGGCTTGAGTAGCTTGACGTGACGGTGGTGCAGAGTATAGAGAGTAGATTGAACTTGACAGGGTGACGTTGAAACTTGACGCAGTGAGACAACACTTGACACTGCATCTGAAAACCAACATAGATGAACGCATTAGAGGTAATACAACAATACAGGACTGACGTACTGACGTGCAAGATGCATACTGGTAGTGGGAACACAGAGGACAAGCACTGTAAATTTGGTGAGAAGTGAATACAGCCCTATAGAGCCTGTACGCAGGCAGACACTCACATGTTGATCATTAACGAAGATTCAAAGTGTTTGGAATGACATATGAAGTTGTTTGAACATGATCTGTACCTAGGAATTTGTTACAGTGCCGCGTCACACATGCCGCGTCAGTGCCGCGTCACAGGCGCGTCACGACCGCGGCAGGCGCGGCAGGGCCGCGTCAATTTCACCTGGCCCAATAGGGATGCGTGACGCCAAGAAACGAGCACGGCCATCCTGCTTTCCGCCCTGCTGCTTGAGTTTCTCAAAATCTTCTGCATCGACTCTTACTTGTTGCTTTTGCGAAATTGTGTGTCAAACATTACTCCGCGCGTCTTGACCTCGGACGGCTTGCCAACTGCCTACAATAGATCTACGACAACCCACTTTCGTTCGCCTCAGCTAACTTCTTCGCTTCTCTCCTCATACGAACCCAGTACATCATGATCAATCTCGCGATCCCTTAGATGTATGTATGTCTCTTTCTCTTGTTTATTTCGCATCATCCTGGTGGCCTGTTCGTGGAGGTCACGCGGAGCCCCGCATCGTTGACGTTCCTCTCGCGCAGGCTAAAGAGGCATGTCCCGTTCATTTTCTCGTTTTATCTGACGTCTAATGTATGAATTTACAGCGCAACGCTGTTGCGGGTGAAGACGACGATGTAGTACCCGATGAATATCTTGATCCTCCCTCACCGAACCCTGATTCGCAACGACCAGCTACTACAGTACAGCCTGCCACCGGAGAGCATGGGGACGACCGGTCATGTTTCTGCTTCTAGCGTTGTGCTGTTCATTTTGTATAATTTAGCATTATCCACTTGCATTCAGCATTCTATGGACGTGGGTACGAAACACATCCAAGGTCATATCCTCAGCTACGTATTGTTTGCCATTCTGTACGAAGATGTGTCAGATTAAGTAGCGTCTATCCAGTGATCATTTTTCTGTACGACGCCTTCAGTCCCTCGCGGCCCCTCGCACGTCCAGCTCAACGCAACTCAAAGTACTCGTCGTGCCAAAGATTCACACTCTACACCTGACGTGAAATCACAAATTTAAAGACTATGCTTCATGGGTCTTCCGTCAACTTCGCAAAGATAACTTGTCTCTAGGTCCCGGATACTACCTCGTCTCCCTCGCATTCAAATACATCCCCCCCGAACTCACCTCCACAGGTAAGGGTGACTCCTTCATCTTCTACTGCGATTACATCACGACTATCTGGCATGCAGAGTCGTTTCTTCTCAGCGTTTTCTGACAGTGGGCAGTCAGTCGTGGCGGCAAGCCCAAAGTGGGAGAGATTTTGCAGCGAATATCATGAGTATTGGAGGAGCTACGACCGAATAAGCGACCGAGAAACGTGCTGCCTGACGGTGCCAAGGAGCGAGGACGGCGTCATGCAGAAGACTAAGAACGCAGAGGTTAAGAACACAAAATCGAAATGATAGTGACAACATACATGAGAATGATCTGCAACGAAAAAGACCTTGGGGGACCCGATAAGCAGACGGACGTGGCTGAATTGGTCGTGTAGCATTAACCTAGAGTGTATGTTCGAATTTAATGATATCTTTTCACAAAACTCCTCGCCCATGTAGCAATCTGCATCAGCCTTGCGCCTGGTGTACCATTGCTTCGAAGTATATCAGCAAGACCATTCTCATGGCAAGGATTGCATTGGCAGCTGACCTTGACGCCCATGATGCACTCGGAGATGGATTTGGCTCTTGCATGCCACGTCTCCTTGTCGTTAGGGCCACACTTCAGGCGCCCGAGGGAGGCAAAGTCGAGATAGATGGTAGCGTTGCGGCCCTGATTGAGTTGTTGGGACTGGTGCATCACGACCTGGCTGCATTTGCGGCTCTCTTCTCTCCCAGCCAAACCACTTCAACAAAAGCAGACATCAGTGCTTTGAGCACAGCAGTACCGATAATATCCTCTAGGCACTCGAGTAGTCCGTCGTGGTGCTCAGGAGTGCCTTCAGGCTTCATCTGCGCGATAGACTTGACTTCACCCTGCAGGATAAGGAAACACTTGTGCGTGAGGTCGATTCCACGCCCCCGGAGAACCGTCTGGACCTCGGTGTACGAAACCGGCCGTGAGTTAAGGGTGTGCCGAGAGGTATTGGATTTGGTCGCTGTGCATGCGACAATGAGCGAGGAGTTCGGGACGGCACTGTGTGTGTCGGGTCTAGGCTGGGGGTCCGAATGGATTAGCTCAGTTCGATTTGATGAGTGAAGGTACATACGAGGTCTATAATCTCGCAGAAATGAACTTCCATGCTGCACACATCCAATTCAGGATATCGGTTGGACGCGAACACAGATAATGCCAAATACCTGATATCTGTGAGGAAGCATGCAGACCGCACATATAAGATGGTGCAAGGAAGCGGATACCCAGCTAACCGATCGACTACTGCTCGAAACCGCAATGAAAATGAGCGGCGCTGTTCGAAAAGCCGCGTCCACATTCAACCGTGCTCTAGGACTCTCCCTATCACAGATGTCTATGCACACGTGTATTCTTCAGCGTAGAGGGAGCGTTAATTGGAGAGAGAAAAAATTAAATTTGCACTGGAGAAGCTTTGCCGGATTTAATCTCTGTCAAAGTTCCAGTGAGCTTCTTGCATATGGACTGCCGGAGATGCGGTAACTTCTCGACCACTTCGCTGTGCATATGTTAGTCAAATAAGATGCGGAAACCAGGAGGGAAAAAATAAACCAGACAAAGGGAAAGTTGTCCAGCGCAGAGGAGTTGTTCGAGTCCCCGAGGAATTCCATGAGTGCATGGACGACGCTTGCAGCCACCTCAGAAAACTTGACCGCTAATACGTGGATCGACTGGATGAGAAGTTGCCTGTACTCCAGGGCCTATCCCAAAATCAGTCCTGGACCACAGTAACGCGGAGGACTGCGAGACCAACCACGATGCGGCTATTGAAAACTAAGATGAGCCAACATGTGCATGCGACCTTATCGTGAACGTACCTTTCACAGCAGCCGGGTTCTGCGTGAGTGTGGTGAGTGTCGTAGCAGCGTCATGCTTTGATGCGTGCGACGATGAGTTCAACAACTCAAACGCGCATCTGATGTATCACGGCTGCAAGACGACAGAAGGGAGGAGGAGCAAGATAACTCAGAGTGAAGAGGGCTCACTCGATGGGTCGTATCATTCTTACAATACAGCCTGGTAACTTCTGTGATGCTCATATGCAAGAGCTCGTCTAGACTTGTCAGCTGATCGTACACCCACTCGACAGCCTTCAGTATCGCACAGTGAGCGAGAAACACGAATGCGTTACGCTTGCACGTCGCGTCAGACTCTGCAGCGATGAAAGTTTGCATAAGCTCGGGAGCATCTGGGATGAGGTGTTCGTATTCGTGGTAGATAATGTACACGGCGAATACGGCGTTCTTGGGAACGGATGAGCGACGGTGCTCAAGACAGCTGCCGCAGCAGGGAGTTCAGCACCTTTAGATATCTTCTAAAAGGAAACGTAGGGTAGCGCCGCGGATATACTCGTTGGGTGTTGCTGTAGAAATATGAAGAAAACAGTAAGTCAGGAATGCGGGGATTAGTCAGGTCATTTATCATAAGATAGCTATGGCGTTTCTATGTAGGCAACTTGAAGAGCATCTGCCACGCGCTAGGAGATAAGATAAACACACCATCAGGAAATTGGGGAGTCGGTGGTATGACTAGGCGGAGTTGATAAATCTTAGTCAGTCAGCGAAGTGTTGGTCAGCCTAGATAATATACGATAATGTATTGCCAGGGAAGTGCCGGACTGATAGAGGATGATCAAGTCTATGTCGACCAGTTGAATAATAGTCAGACTTGATAATCAATTATAACTGGTTGTCATGCGAGTGTCAGGTTGACAGAACATGATCAAGTCTTTGCCAACTAGTCAAGTAATAACCGGACTAAATAATACATTATAAGTGGTTGTCAGACCAGCGCCAAATTGACGCTGTCAATGTCATCTTTGATTAAGATGCATTTCCCCTATTTCCAGTTTTCAGAAACAGTCGGTGGTCGGACTGTGTTATCAGCTAGAACGTCACAAGTAACAGAGGGTGCACAGCAAGTGGGGCTCAGAAGTCAACGTTCAGAGTGGAACGTTGAACTCGCAGTCAATAATATCCGGTTATCCGCCGTACAGTCATCCGATTTAAAGGCACAACTTATCTGACGTACTGCAGCGTCTGGCCCAAGCCTCAGTTGCATGTCGGATGATTTGGTTCCAACTTGCAAGGGCAATGTTCACAAGTTTCAGCGCAAAAGGATAAGAAACCATCCAGCTCGGAGTTACCTATACCACTTATCACCACTAACACTCAGGAAACTTAACATTACTGAATCAACAATTTCCGACACCGTCAATCTAAATAGTCCTGTGGATAGTAAAACAACACATTTCAAGCCGACTCGTAACAGACTTTTACATGCGAATAATGAGCTGCTTGATCGCCGACATCCACAAGCCAATGTCGTCTGTCTGCGAGCCACGAGTGAGAAGGTCGACATGTATAGACAATGCGGCATCTCGGTCATGCGCCTCCATGGCTGTCAAGCAACCCTTGAATCAGGATTGCCCAAGCGTATTGATCGGAAACACGTACCTCTGGCCAAAACAAGCAACTGGTCAACTACAGGCTTGGATAATGTTTCACAATTCAAAGCATCGAATAGAGAATTGATCCGGCGCTGAAGGTCATCGGGCATTCGTCTTTGTTGGGGCTATGGAAGATTGTCAAAGAAGAGCTTCAATCACAGAAGACAATCACGTACTTGCGTCGTCTGCTTCATCCGTGTGAGTTGCTCGTTAATGATATTGAGGATGGGTAACGCAGACTCGTGGATATGAGCCCGGTCTCCAGGGGCTAGAAATTAATAATCCACTATGTGTCTGCACTGCCTTCACGCATCAGACTGCTCTGGAATTCCAGCCTACTCCCAAGTTGCTCCGCAAGGTTCGAAAACTCCTCCTGGCTCGCAAAGGTGCACAGCACCACAAATATCTCCTGCCATTCTCGCAGGTCGGCATTCTGTACGATGTCCGAGAGATCATTGGTGACGATGCTCTGGAATAAACGAAGATAGGGATATGAGGTGGTACGCCGTTCGAAGTAAGCCTTCTGGGTGCGTTGAAGAAGATCTTCGCCACCCTTGATCGCGAGTAGGATAGCGTCCGCGTAGCGTTCGGCAGAAAGACACAACGAAACAGCAGACTCGAAGTCGCCAAGCACCAGTGCTTTCGTCACCAGCCCATCCGTCTCACTCTCGTCAGAGGGGTAGATCTTGAACGTGTTCTTCAGGTTCTTATTTGCTACACTCGAAGGACCAGACCCAATGGTAGCAGCGACACTTGAATCAAGACCGTAGTTATGATGAGGCACTTCGAGTTCGGGCGCAGCACCGATTGTGCTGAAGAAGTCAGCACCCGTATCCATCTGGGGTGTACCAAGGGCACCTTCATCACCAAAGAGACTTGGAGCAGTAGTCGTGGATTCACCATCTGTGACCTGGACGGCGTCGGATGCAACTGCTGGCGCTTACCTCCGAAGGCGTCTTTTCAACACCCATTGTCGACAAATCCTCTTCACTGCCATCGTATTGTGCTTCTGGTTCTGCAAAGGACACCACTGGCTCGTGGGGTTTCGCTAGGTCCGCCCCAGCTTCATCCACGCTATGGTGCAACCTCCTTCAGCTTCGCAACCGCTTCCTCGACACGCCCCTTGATCTCCTCTTTAGAGTAACCTAACAGCGTGACAAGTTCGTCCCTCGAATTCGCACGGAACAAACTAAAGAGGGCCTTCCAGCCATCTTCACCAGCTTTCTCCGAGCGTACCCGCTCTTCTGCGAATGTGCTCAAGGTATTGGTATCCACAGCTTGTTGTAACTTTTGCGCCCGGTCGACAATATCTGTTTCTGTGATAACTTTTCGGATGTGCACTACGCTGCTCTGGTTTTTCCCTGAGGCTGCAGGTAAATTACCAACGCTGACGAGTTGCCCGCCGAACCCAAACGAACAGGAAGATGGGCGGCGGAGCCACTTGGGTGGTTGTTTGAGACTGAGCGTCGGAGCCGTGGTACGGGAGTGACCTGGCACGTCAAACACATCTGCACCATCGAGTTTTGGTGTCACAGGGGGAACTGTAGCATCATTCGTAGACTGGACAGAGTGAATCTCAACCGTGCCATCGAAGAAAGCGGTAGCCAGGAGATCAGGATTTCGTGGGCACCATTCCACTTGGAAAGCCCAATTACCCGCAGAAGGAAGCTGTTTAAGGACAAAGTTAGAACATTAGACTTCAATAAATCGAGCCATACT